TTTCCCTTACCCAGTTGTTGTTGATTAGCAAGTTGTTCAGTTTCCATGTGTGTGTAGGCTTTTTGTTATTTCTCTTCTTGTTGAGATCTAGCTTTAGTCCACCGTGGTCAGATAGGATACATGTGATAATTTCAGTCTTTTTGTATCTGTTGAGTCTTGTTTTGTGGCCAACTGTATGGTCTATTTTGGAGAAGGTTTCATGAGGTGCTGAGAAGAAGGTGAATTCTTTTGTGGTTGGGTGAAAGATTCTGTAGATGTCTGTTAGGTCCATTTGATTCATGACCTCTGTTAGAGTCATTCTTTCTTTTTAAATTTATGTTTTGTTGTCCTGTCTTTTGTTGAGCGTGGTGTGTTGAAGTCTCCCACTATCAATGTGTGAGGATTTATGTGTGGTTTAAGTTTTATTGTTTCTTTTACAAATGTGTGTGCTCTTGTATTTGGGGCATAGATGTTCAGAATTGTGTTGTCTTCTTGGTGGAGTTTTCCTTTGATGAGTATAAAATGAACTTCCCCATCTCTTTTGATTAATTTTGCCTGAAAGTCTATTTTATTAGATATTTGAATGGCTACTCCTGCTTGCTTCTTGGGTCCTTTTGCTTGGAAAACCATCTTCCAGCCCTTTACTCTCACGTAATGTCTATCTTTGTGACTTAGGTGTGTTTCTTATATGCAACAGATTCTTGAGTTTTGTTTATGTATCCATTCTGATAGTCTGTGCCTTTTTATTGGAGAGTTGAGTGCATTGAAGTTAAGGGAGATTAATGACCAGTGGCTGTTAGATGCTTTGATTTTGCTGTTGGCTATGGTAGTGTGTTTGTATGCTTGGTTACTTTTGGTTTAGCTGTAGTGTGGTTATTTGTTTCCTGTGTTTTCCTGAATGTAGTTAGTTTTCTTGGGTTCTATTTTTTCTTCTAGTATCTTCTACAATGCTGGATTTGTGGGTACGTATTGTTTGAATTTGTATTTGTCATTGAATATCTTGTTTTCTCCATCTATGATGACTGAGAGTTTTCCTGGATATATTAGCCTGGTCTGACATCTGTGTTCTCTTAGGGTCTGCATGATATCCGTCCAGGCCCTTCTTGCTTTCATAGTCTCTGTTGAGAAGTCAGGTGTGTTTCTAATGCGTTTGCCATTATAGGTTACATGGCCTTTTTCTCTCACAGCTTTTAGTATTTTTAATTTGTTCTGAGTACTTACTGTTTTGATTAGTATGTGGTTGGAGGATTTTCTTTTCTGGTCTAATTTCTTAGGTGTTCTGTAGGCCTCTTGTATTCTTATAGGTTTCTCCTTTAGTTTGGGGAAATTTTCTTCTATGACTTTGTTGAAGATATTTTCTGGGCCTTGCATCCCAGGAGGGCACTGTGTCTGAGGAGCAGGACAGCAGTGTTGGCACAGCGACCAGGAGACTGAACTCTGGGACCTAAAACACCAGTGTTTGTGATTGCCAGGTGAGAGGAAATCTTATTTTGTGGAAATCAACTGATACCAACCTTAGGTCATCTAAAAAGGTCCTGGGGACCAGCAGGTGCACCCACTGCAGCAGATTGGAGCACACAGATTTCTGGGATGCCCCCAGCAGCCATCCTGGACTGGGACACACAGCTTCCAGCACAGAGTAAGGAGTACAGCCTCTGGACCAGAGCAGAGTCCTCAGTTGCTGGTCTAGAGAGGATTGCGTATCTTTACAGCCAGAGCTGCACCCCCAGCCATCATCCCAGACCGGGGTGTGGGTGCACAGTCTCCTGCCCAGAACAGAGCACTCAGCCTCTGGCCCAGAGACTTGCTGTGCTGTGTGCTCAACTCACCTTCCCAGACAGAACTAAGTGCCCCAGGGTACCAGACTGAATTTCCCTATTGGGAGAAAACCCCACAGCTAGGGAATCAGCAGGTTCTTCAAGAGTACTGTACCTGGAAAACAGTGTAACAACAGCAGCAGTTCACTAAATTCAGGAAAAAAAATCCAGAAGCAGGGCAGCTGTCTCCAGGACTTCTATGGGTGAGAGGAGAGCCCCCTTGACTAACACAGACCATAGCCACTACTCAGTCTATAGGCCTGAGGTGAGCAGTGGCAATTCCTGTGAAACACTGTCCATACAGTGACCATACCCAAAAAGCAGAGGAGGCCTCCTTCAGGAAGCATCATCTTCCTGTCAAGGGGTTTCTCCCTATCCCAGGATTCCAGGAAGCACCAGAAACAAACAGCCAACACCTAAAACAGCCCAATGTTTAGAAGTCAGAGTAAAAGCTCAACCAACAAAAGACAGGGCAATATGGCATCACCAGAACCCAGCCACCCAGGGGTGAGCAGCCCTGGACACACCAGGATAATTGAAATTCAAGAAGATGACCTTACATCTATGCTGATGAAGGGATAATAGAGGAAACAAATAAAATACGTAAGGAAGTAGAGGAAGATAAAAATCAGATTATGTCCATCCGTGAAGAAATACGGGAAGATGCAGCCAAAGAGTTTGTGGCCTTCAGAGAAGAAATAATTAAATCACTGAAAAAAAAATAAAAGAAACAGAGGAATGTTCAAACAAACAGTTGAAGGAACTAAAAGAAAACCAGGAATATACAATTAGACAGGGGAAGGAAATAAACAAAACACCACAAGATCTGAAGACAGGACTGGAAAACATAAAGAAGACACAAACAGAGGAAATCATGGAGAGGAAGAATTTAAGGAGGAAAACAGGAACTACAGAGGCTTTGTTCATTTAATTTTTTTTTCTTTTTCTTTTTCTTTTCTACAAAACCAAAACCAAAACCACAACAAAAATTCAGATAAGAAATTTCCAGTCATTGAAGTGGACGTGCACCTTGGATTGTCACATTTGTTCCAACACTGGGGAAGCTGTGGCAGGTCATTCACGGTTGGAGCAGTCTGGTATGGCTGTTGTTTTCTTCAGTGCAGTAATCTTCTCTTTGTTGTTAGAGCTCCTGGGTTGCTCACATTAATCTTTTACTCATTCAATCACATAAGTTTTCTCCTAACATGAGGACCACCACCTCTAAACTCTTACCCCTTCAATATATGCTATGGTTTCGGGAAGAATATGGAGATTTTCACTCTCCAAAAGAAGGCTGTGCACTTACAGTGAGACTGACTGTTCTTCCTATGAAGTGGGATGGCCATTAGCAGGTTCCTGGGCCTTGTCTCTTGCAAAGTCAGTTTGGCTCAAGTTCACAGGATCCACCCACACACCCTGACCCTTATGTTGATCAATGGTTGACACCTGTTTATAACTCACTTCAGATTTGTGCTTCAAAAGATTATACTGCTGTTTTGGTTGCTAAATTTCTCCATCTCCATCTTCCTGCTGAGTGTCATGCCGTTTTAGAAGTCAGGGACCCTCTGCTGGTCCTTTCCTCACCATCGTTCTTATACCCACATTCATATCTCTCATCTGCTGCTCCTTCTGACTATCTACTTCAGAGGAAAGGGATTGTATAATTAGCAGAGTCAGGGAAGGCTTTTTGGCCTCAGCCACTGTATGAATACTGAAAAGCTACTCACTTTTGAGGCAACTTTTCCATCTAAGCACCCTGATTGGGATCTCAAAATGTATGCTGGTTCTGAGGCCCTGGACACTTTTCATTGCTCTGCTATGTCTGTAATTCAGGATGCAGCTTGAAAAATGACAAATTTGTCTATGACCACTAAGATTCTTCACAGCCCAGAAGCGTTTTCTGGGGCACTTCTCTTGACCCAATGGATCCAAAAAGTGCCAGGCATTAAATTTGGCTTTCGTCCTTTAATCAGCCCAGGATATACAGAAATGCTCCAACAGCTAGATGCCTTTGCAGGGGTGAAATAACTCTCAGCTCATCAAAATAGCCCAAAAGATTTTCAATAACCAAGATAATGAAAACCAAAACAAGCTGCCTTCCTGTGAGGACTGGCTTCTTATTTGCCCTCTGAACTCAAGCCTGTATTACAACTGCTGTCTCCTGACCTTCATCTTTTGATGCTTGATGTTGTGTCATGGAGTCCTAAGGAGGATCACTCACACATTGACAGCGTCTAAGTTTCCATTGCCCATCCAAACCTTCTGCTCAGGGACAGAGCAGAACTGGGACATGTGTTAAGTCACCAGAGCACATTTTGTCCTGGATTGTCCCTGAGTTTTTAGTTGAAAACTGAGACTGAGCACTAGCATTGAGACTTAAACTCTGTCATCTAAATGAAGCTGTGTGCTGGAGTGGAGTCAGGTTCAAAGTTGTCTATGCTCTACATGTACCTGTGTGTTTCCCTAATCCTATACAAAGCAGCAGGTTGTGTGGTCACCCCTGTGGTCACCAATATTTCTGTCAGTAACGTCTTACCTATGTTCTATAAGTAAGTCTGGATTAGCTCATCTTCTCCAGTGGAAACTTGACAATATGAGGTGGGGTTAGATGTTGCCTAGTGTCCCACTGCCTCATCCTTTGTGCCTTGTGACTGATAAAAAAGGAATTATTCTAAATCCTAAACCTACATTTTGTTCTTCTCTTTCAAATCAAGGTTTCACTATGTAGCCCTGAATGACATGGACCTTACTGCTATGAATTGTAATGTAAATACCCGTGTTTACTGTTGGTCTCAAGCAACTTCTGCTTTGTAGAGCAGGCTTTGAACTCACACATCCACTGGCCTCTGTCTCCCAAGTGCTGGGATTAAAGGCATGTGTCCACATGCCATGCATCCCTTACAAAATCTTTATTCATAAAAGATAATTAACATTGTAGAAAAATTTGCATTCACAGGTAAAAAGCTGAAGAGATTTTATTTGGAAGTCAACAGGAACAGAGGTACTGCATTTTATAAAGCTAATGATCAAAGATGGTATAAAATACAGTCCAATTTGAAAGACATATGTCTTAAGTAATACAAATTACATCGCTCAGGTTCTTGTTTTCCTCAACTCACCAGAATAATATTTTTGAAGTGTTGTATTTAAGCAAAACAAAATATTTTGGTACTTGTACTCTTCCATGTTTCTACAATTCAATATTTAACCATCTGTAATTTTTCTTTGCAGCAAAGTCTTCTGCTTTTGAAACTCATTGTGTATACTGTTAAGTACATTGGTATAATTCTTCTCCAAATCCTCCAAAACCTAAAGCACAAAAGAATGCTTTAGTTCCAAAACAACTTTTCATCACAGGTTCTCAAGATAGTTTTAAAACTTAAGAATCTTTTCATATTCTAATAATATACAATATCAATTCCATCTTTATAAAAACATTGGAATATATCCAAATTCACCCCATATTATATATATATACGTGTGTCTGTGAACAAGTGAATCAAAGATAATTATAACATTATGAAAGTAGTGTACTTTGTGTGAGTGCACTCTGTGTGAATTAATAGTCAAGTGAGATGTTAAGGTTAGAGGGAGAAAAAAGAAAGTGTGGCTCCAAGTCTCCCAAAGGCTCACTTGAGAGCATAAAGAATTTAGCACTAATTTGGACAACATAGTAATACCCAGTCTCAAAAAGCAGGGTGGAGCTGGGCAGTTATGTTGGTTGGTAGAGTGCTTGCCCAGCATGAATGAACCCTCCACTTGATCCCTGGCACAATGTAAACAAAGCAGTGGGACACACTTGTAATCTTAGCAGAAGAGAGGTGAAGGCAGAGGGATTTGGAGTTCTCAGGTATTTATGAAGACCAAGGCCAGTGTGAGCCACATAAGACCAAATACTTAAAAAGGGAGAAAGAACAAAAATGTGTAGAATTAGAAACAGTAGAAAATCCAAAAGTGCAATTAGTACGTATGAGTATGACTTTTTAAAAGGTTCTCAAGTATCAGCTTATAGTTTATTTATTATGATTAACAGTCAGTGTGAATGATAATTACAAGAATTAAAAGAATTTTCCCGAGGTATATAAAACAAAAACTACATTTTGGTACACTTTTTTTTTTTTATAGGATCACAGTGTTTAGCCCAAGCTACACTCCATCATCACATGCTTCTCTCTCAGGCTTCCCAGAACTGACATCATTTGCCCGTGCTTCCATATCTATTGAAAAAATTAAGTTAATTAACTAACATGTTACTTTTGCCTAGTACTTAAGGTGTACTGTTATGTAAATGTGTGGAGAGACTTTAAAAAAATGACAAAGTAGCTCACAACTTTCAATGCAAAAAGAAAACCCATGCAAACAAAATTATTCAAACACTTCATAAATGGAATGGAAATAAATCAATTTTTAGCTACAGTGTAGAAAACGGGGCAATTCCAAGTAGGTTGGCAAAAGAATACGGTTTCAAAAATACGAAAATTAACAACATTCTAGGGAAAGAATAGTAGTCCATCGCCTGTGGGTTTAGATAAAGCAATTACGTACAGAGATGAGGCTAATGAGCAGATGTAGTAAATGGAAGGGATCTTATAGAACAGGAACTTACAGATTATATTTGCAGAAAGTAATGTTTTAGATAGCTTTGGAACCAATTCTCTGCTAAATATACAAATCGATTTTTTAAAAAACTCAACTAGTCTATTGCGCAGGTTGGGCCCAGACCCAGAGGATCCAAGCTGTATCTGACTTGAAAGCCTCCTCCTTGGGAGCTAGCTTTCATGGTACCAGAAGTTGGCAGAAAAGTTTTAAAAGGAGGGAGGTAACCAACAGTCCTACTTAGCTACAGTGAACATGAACCACAACAACTGCCAGCATGGTATGATAACTCTAAAGGTGCAGTAGGGGCATGAAAACCTTGGCAATAACAGCTCTCTAATTGGACTTAAGGCTCGCTCTTTGATGTTTATAGAAATGAGTATAAAGTTCTTTCAAAGTGTCTTAATACTGTTTGGACCTTGATATGTCTATCTACTTATATAAAATCCTTTAACGCTACAACTTTTATAAAAATTTTATCATTTATTTATGGGGGGGTGTCTATTATGTACACACAAGTACGTGGGTGTTCAAGGAGGCTACCAGGAGTGTCCTATGTCTTGCAGCTGGACTTGTGAGCCTCTTGATGTGAGTTCTGGGAAGCAAATTCCAATCCTCTGACAGAGCAGCAAGCACTCTTAACAGAAGAGCCATTTCTTCAGTCCTGGCATTTTAACCCTCACCTTCTGTGTTCTAGACTCTCTTTTATGATTATATGAAAATACTTTGGTACCTGTAATTATTTTAAAATCTATTATATCATGAAATGCTTCTTTAATACATTTGGAAACAAAATATTGGACAATATCAACTAAGCACTTTCTTATTTAACAAATACTGGATACACAAAGACAGATAGTTATGATGTTATTATATTATGCATTTGATGCTTAAGCACATTTCTAATAAAAAGTCTCAACATTTCCTGTTTTGAATAATCCCTCCTTAAAAATTTGAAAATATCTGCCATCACTTCATTCACAGTCACTTATTCATAATGGAAAATAGGTAAAGTTTTGAAATGTGTTAAGAGAATGCATGATGTTAAAACTTATGACATACCTTTAAGAACTCATCATCTGCCTGCTTAACTGTTTTCAGGCTGTCAGTCTGAAGCATTCTAGTTTGTTGAAAAGTCTTCTCTTGATGATTAAAAATACCCTAGAAGTATAAATGGGAAGTTGGGTAATAACAATTAAGTATGAAATTTGTTGCTCTTAATGCTGTTCTTGGCTTCACTCATGCTAAAGAAAGACTACAACAAGGTAATCCCCTGGACTAAAATTTTAAACTCAAAACATCCCTTTAAATTAATCTTTAAAAGCATTCCTTAAAAGGAATTGTTTTCATAATAAATGCCGTCAATATTTTATTTTGGTACTTTTTATCACTAAGTTTACACAATAGGTGCCTTTACCACTAACCAGCAAAAATCATCCTCCAAGTCATGGAGTAGGATTTTCAAAGCCAGATTGTACACTGCACAAAACAGTAGAAACTCATGATCTTCCTGCTTCAGGATCCCTAGTAGCTGGGATTTGAAGCATGCAGCTCATGCGAGTGAACAGAAATTCTTAATATTCAAGATATAACTTACTACTCCAGTAATGTCCACACATATGATTTTCCAATCACTATGTCCTTTCAATTTCTTAACCTATTCTTCACCAATGACTTTGTGCTATAACCTACTTTATCCACTCATTTAAATACTTGTACATTGTATTTGGCCATTGTTGATAACACATTTTTCTATAGTGCTGGTAATGGCAAATATGTGTTAACTCCATGGCAGATATGATTTTGAACCTTATTAAGGAAATCCTCACCATTTAATTTCAAAGATGAGAAAACTGAGTTACAATGGTACAGTGTCTGTTGTTCCAAGTTTTGCTATTATTGAAGTTTGAATCAGATCCAAAATATTATGCTTCCAGAATCTAAGCTTTAAGTATTATGAAAACTCTTTCTCCACATATTATGAGATAATACTAACACACTTTACACTTTAGCTTATTCATTTTCGTATTATGGGTGAGCAATCCTTCAAGACCAAAAATTCATGAACCCTACCTTCTATTTACTGTTGCCCCTATGTCTGTTATTTTCAGTTTTCTTTTTCCAACCTCAAATGCTATAACCAATCATTAACATTGCCTCTTTGCATATAAATCTTACTCTGTTCTGACTCGAATTTACTTGGTTAAATCACAAGTTTGGAAGCCTCAGCTCTAGCTAATCTCCCTGATGACAGCACATTCACATCCTTATGGCCTTATTTCATGGAATACATAGATACGATCCAAAGAGAATATTCAGTCTCTCATCACTGGATCTACCACCCACCTCCAACTGTACATGCCACGTTTTACGCTCTGCTTTCCATTTTCAAAGCTGTATTATACTTCTTTACGAATTTCAATCTTTCACATACCCCATTCTTAAGAACTCAGCAATTATCCTTGTTTTCCTCTTTTTAAATATATGTCTCATGTCTTAAAACCACCAAGAAACAACAAAAACTACAGTATTACTCCTTAGGCTATCACAGTTTTTCCTATTATGTCTTGTATTTATTTCTCAAGTTTGTGCTCACTTTCCCAATCTACTCATTCAGATTCAGAACACCTATGATGACGTCTATATTTTCAAATCTACCTTATTTCACCTAGAAGTGGTATATTGTGAAAGTAATAATTTTTTCTCCTTTCAAAAGGCTTCCTTTACATGGAGTAGTTTTAATTTCTACCTAATAAATAATTTGTTCTCAATCTGCTTTACCAGTTCACTCTCACCCTTGAGAATCGGTGCAGTGAAAACGTCCAGGGATCTGGCCCTGAGACTTTTCACTTATACCCTCAGTAACAGCTTGATGTTTTCATCTGATCTTCATGCTTTAAAAATTACCTTAAATTAACAATTCTCAACTTCTTATCCTTAAGAAATGGCTTCCTCTTGACTTCATCCTCACATACTAGTGGCTTATTTAACTGTCCACTGAATGTCACATGTGTGACAAATTGAATATTCTGTAAGTAGACTGATTTCCAACCCCAAGACTGTTTGAATACAATCAGGACCTCAAATGTAATACAAAAATGATTTTCCAAGACAAAATGGTGAAAAGACACAAATGGGAAGTGTAATCAGTGCCTTGAATTATATGAATGGGTTAGTTTTCATCAGCCTGGGAACAGCGAAGTACCACACTTATTGACTGAGGAGGGAAAATGATTGTGACTCGGTACTGTGGCTTTGTAAAAGTGTGCTTGCCTACTTGCAAAATGCTCTGAGTTAAGTCATGAACTCACAAGGAGAAAGAGAAGGACAGAAAGAAGGAAGGAAAGGGAATTTGAGACAAGGGAGACAGGAGAGGAGCATGAAGAGCAGCAGAAGAAAACCATGTAAACCATACTCTGACTATAGTGTATATTTGAGAAATTGGGAAATGGTCAAAACTAGTTCAGTGATATTCCTCCATAGGAATATTCTGCCAGGGCAATTGAGAAAGACTGTCTCAGTTAACTGAAGCTAATAAATTTGTAGTTGAGTCTAACATTGGAAGATTTCAGATATGCAATCTAGCAAGATCACTGAGACCCAGAAACAGCTCAGATAATATCTTGTAATGCATCCCTCACACCATTCAACTATGTCTGAAACAAACCCACCCCTGATTTATTTCACACAAAACAGTCATCCTTCATTTATTCCTTTACAAGTTTCTGTTGCTTGAAATTACAAGAATCTCAACTAATATCAGAAGCCAGATGGCCTTTATGAACATTAAGTGTGTTTATGTTTTTGTGATTTTTGGTTTACCAGGAATAGAACACAAAGCTAATAACAGATCCCCAAACTTGGCTCATTTCCTAATGCAAGGATACCTTCTCTATTTTGACTTGACACTTAGTTATAACAGATTAATTATAACAATAACTGTGAAACCAACATTTAGTTCATTTTCTTGGTCTTCAACTTGCATTATATCAGAATCCCATTGCTGAAACACAGTTATAATCTGCTCAGTATATTCCATTTTAAACTCCCGCCTGTAAAACATAATAACGAATGTCACATTACATATCAAGATGAAGAGAATGTCAAAGAAAAATTAAATTACCACATTATGTATCATGTAACATAAAAGGGAAGACATAATAGCAAAGTAAATATTCCTGTGGGAAAACAAAAAGTAAAATTAGATTTATATTGATTCAAGAAATATTTTTCTTAACTAATTAAATTGTGTTTTCATATGGCTGGCTTATCGACTAATAAGAACATTTAATCATTTATCTGTCTTTATGTATGTTTATATAAATGTCATATACGTATAAATTTTAGAAAAAATCATTCCATCTCCAAGCAGTTTTGCTTCATTTTTTTTCTACTGAATAATGCTATAATATCAACAATATATGAGTTCCAAGTAGAAATATTTCACTTCAGTTTTTTAAATCTAGTTTGGTAAACCCAAGATCACAAGGGAATGCTTAACTCTCCCAAAATTCATACATGATTTACAATATTAAACTGAAGTTTTCTATCTTGTAAACATCTATAAAAATGAATAGATTCGATGATACCTACCTTTTACTGTACTTCTAGAATGAACAGAAATGACTTTTTTAAAAAAGATAACCTTCCTCCTTGTGGGGTAGCCTTACTAGGCCACAAAGCAAGAGAATCCAGGAATTCTGATTTGACCTGATAGGCAAGGATCAGATAGTAGGGGAGGAGGATCACCCCTATCAGTGAACTGCTGGAGGGATAGGGTGGGTGGGACAAGGAGGGGATGTGGGAGGGGGCTACAACTGAGAAACAAAGTGAATAATTTATAATAATTATAAAAAGTTTGAAAAAAAAGGATTGAAAAAAATTCTATTAAGAAGCAAAAAAGAAAGAAATGATTAACACTGTCATGTCAAAACTCAAGCTACACATGATGTTTGTCACTGGCTATGTCTCTCAGAATAGCCAGAAATTGGAAATAACCCAGATGTCCCTCAACTAAAGAATGGATAAAGAAAATGTGGTACATTTACACAATGAAATACTACTCAGCAATTTAAAAACAAAGGAATCATGAAATTTGAAGGCAAATGAGGGCTAGAAAAGATCATCTTCACTGAGGTAACCTAGAAGCAGAAAGACACATGGGATATACTCACTTATAAGTGGATATTAGCCATATAATATAGGATAAGCATACTAAAATTATTCGTTCTAAAGAAGCTAAACAGCAAGGAGGGCTCTAGGGAAGATGCTTAATCCTCATTCAGAAGAGCAAACAGGATAGACATTGGAAGTATGAGAAGATAGGGAACAGGACAGGAGCCTTCCACAGGTGGCCTCTGAAAGACTCTACCCATCAGAGTGTTGAAGCACATGCTGAGACCCATAGCTATCTTTGAACAGCATCTTAAGAATCTTATGAAAGAAGAGGGAGACAGAAAGACCTGGAGGGAACAGGAACTCCACAAGGAGACCAAGAGTATCAAAAAGCTGGCCTTGGGGGTCCTGCAGAGACTGATGAATCAACCAACTAAGGACTATACAGGAAGAGGACCTAGACCCCCTGCTCAGATGTAACCTATAAACAGCTCAGTCTCTATGTGGGTGTCCTAGTAAAGGGAGCAGGGACTGTCTCTGCTATGAACTTGGCTGCCTGCTCTTTGATCACTTCCCACAGGTGGGTTGGCTTTACTAGGCTACAGAGAAAGTGGATCCCTTCAGACCTGATAGGAAAGGGACAGATAACAAGGAAGGAGGACTTCCTCTATCAGGTGACTAGGAGAGGTAGAGGGGGGAGAAGAGGGAGGAGGGTATCACCAGGAGGAGATGAGGGAGGGGGCTACAAGCAGAACACAATGTGAATAAATTGTAAAATAGTAAGAATAAGAAGAAAAAAATTATAACTTTATAACTCTCAGGGTGAGTAGTGGTGGTGCACTCCTTTAATCCCAGCTGTCAGTAGGCAGAGGCAGGTGGATCTCCGTCAGTTCACAGCCAGCCTTGTCTAAAGTGTGAGTCCAGGACATCCAGAGCTGCACAGAGAAAGGGTCTTGAAAAGCAAAACAAAGCAGAACAAGATAACCCTCATAATTTGTTATTTAAAAGGAAAAAAAAAAAAACAATGATATCCCCAGGATTCCCAGAAATATATCACAGTCCAGGAAGTTATTACAAGCAGTAGCCTGGAGGAAAATAAAGCCAAGAATTTTCTATAGACTGTTTAATGGAGTAATTGGTGCCAATGTATACTATAAATCATACAAGCGTGGCTCTAAAGAAATGAAGCCTTCCATCTAATGTGGCTGCCTTGCCAGGCCTCATAGAATTGAAGTTGAACTAAGTCCTAATTCAATTTGATGTTCTGGGGTGGGTTAGTCGTGGTAGCATTCGTTTTCTGTGGAGAACAGGAAGGGGGATTAAGGGAAGAGAGTGCAGGATGGAACCTGAAGGACAGGAGGAAGAGGGTATGATCCATATGTAAAGTGAATATATAAATTAAAAAGAAAAAAGAAATTAAGTCTTACATTTCCTCCTGATGAACTTTCCAGTGTTCTTTGATATTCCTGTTGCAGTCTTTGACTACACTTTTAATATAGGACTGCATTCTTCTTTTGTTTTCCACAGCATCACTGCTAAGGTGATCTATGTTGAAAAAAAATATTCATTAATACTTAAAGTTAAAGAAAACGTTATTGCTCCCAAATATAAAAGTAAATGAAGAAACAGGTAAAATCCATTCTACAGTACCAAAAAAATTACAAAATAGTATCAACCAAATTCCTCAAGCTTGTCATATTTTCCTGCACTCAAGGTTTTTGCTTTTCAGACTAGATATACGCAATCAGTAATGTTCATACAAATATTCCAAAGTCAAATAAAATCCTGAAATCTGAAACATTTGTGTTCCTGTAAATGAGAAATACTAGCATTAACAGAATTCTGATTTGCCTACTGGAGATAGTCTTGTATGTTTTAGGGATCATAAAAATGTTCTAATAAACAAAATAATAAAATAAGATAAAACTTTCATTTCTTTCCCAAGGAAAAATTAGAAGAAAAGACAAACTTTATTATTATTATTTTTAGCTTATAGAATACTCTGTACTTGGTAGGATGCTTGGCTGTATTACTTTTGTAACTAATCTTTTGTAACAAATAAAACCCACCCTGTTAAACAGCCAGAATCCAGGCTGGGTGTGGTTGTCACACACTATTATTCCTGGCAGTTTGGAGGCAGATGCAGGCAGATCCCTGAGTTCAAGGATAGCTAAGTAGTGAATCACAGACAAATTAAGGTTACATCGTGAGAGCTTGTCTGAAAATATTTTTAAATTGAGTAAAATTAAAAGAAAAATTGAAGGCCACCTGAGCCTTACATTCCTTAACCTTTTATGCAAAAACCCATATCCTAGTTGGCATATTTCTGTTCACAAACATGGAAGTAGAGAAGTAAAAATAGCAGGGTTAGTACATGTATGGATTTTTCACTAGGACTTTCCCACCACATCCTGGAATCACCAATTTTGCCTTTGTTGCTGTTTTGACAGATGGTCTGGCTAGATTTATGTCACCTTGACCTAATCTAAATTCACCGGAAAGAAGGAAATATCAGTTAATGAAATTCTTCTATGAGATAGGATTGTAGGCAAGCCTGTAGGCCCTTTTAAAAATATTTACTATTTATTACAATATATTCAATTTGTATCCAGGCTGCAACCCCCTCCCTTATTTCTCCCCTTCCTGCCCACCCTCCTTCTCCTCCTATTCCTCTTCTCAAATCAATTGATAAGGGAGGTCCTACTCCCCTGATATCTGACCCTAGCATATCAGTTATCATCAGCCCTGTCTAGATCCTCATTCTCTGTGGCCTGGCAAACCTTCCCTAGCCAGGGAGAGATGATCAATGGGCCAGCCACTGAGTTCATGTCAGAGACAGACCCTGTTGCCCTTACTATGGAACACACATTGAGACTGAGCAGCCTACATTTGAGCAGGATGTCTAGGGCTTCTTCATGCATGGTTGTCCTCAGTCTCTGCGGGCACCCCTGGGCACAGATTTTTTGCCTCTGTTGGTCTCCTTGTGGAGTTCCTGTCAATCCAGGCCCTTCTATCTCCCCCTTCTACCATAACATTCCCTGTAGTCTGCACAAGGTTTGGCTATGAGACTCATCATCTGCTACCATAGGACATTTGCTCAACTATATTCGTAGTAGTTTTATTCGTAATTGCTAGAAGCTGGAATCAAACCAGATGTCCCTCAACTGAAGAATGGATAAAGAAAATGTGGTACATTTACACAATGTAACACTACTCAGCACTTAAAAACAAAGAAAATATAAAAATAAAATAAAATTTGCAGGCAACTGGATGAAACTAGAAAAGACCATCCCGAGTGAGGTAACTCAAAAGCAGAAAGTCACACATGTTATACAGCTCTTAGCCATATAATATAAGATAAATATACTAAAATCTATAGTCCTAAAGAGGCTAAACAAGAAGGAGGGCCCCAGGGAAGATGCTTAATCCTCAATTAGAAAGGCAAACAGTATAGACATCAGAAGTGGGAGGAGACAGGGAGCTGGGCAGAAGCCTACCAAAGAGGGTAGGCTCCTCTGAATGAATCTACCTATTAAGTTACTGAAGGAAACACTGACTCTCATAGCCAAATCTTGGGCATTTTCTTAAGCAGTGATTTATGGCAGCATGCTCAGATCAGAAAGAGGGAGGTCCAGGAAGAGAGAGAAGCAGAGATGTGGGGAGAGGAATGGGAGTTTTGCTTTCTTTGTTAATTCAGTTATGTTATCTAAATATGTTTTTGTTTTAATCCCAAGTGTGTTATTTTAGTTGGCTATGGTTTGTCCACTCCTGTTACTTGTGGTTTTTGCCAGCTGGTAATGGCCTACCTAATGCCTTCCATATGAGGCACAGAGAAAGGTGTGATCCAGGACCCTGAGGATATAAATTGAGGGAATGAAATTTTGGCATGTGACAAGTAGAAGTTTGGAGAGACTTGAGAGATAGACAGTGGGTGTGCTGGTTTGGAGGAGACAGATGGAGAGAAAAGCTTTGTGGCACAGAGTCATGGAGAACACTGAGAGTTGTGTCTCTAGTTGATGGAGATTGTTATAGTCCCAAAAGACCCACTGACCCTCAACAGATGGGAGAAGTAAAGGGACCTCTCAACCTACTAACTTTTCCTTTCCACTTCAGGATGGGGAGTTGGAAGGGAGATAAAGGCCTAAATACCCCAAATAAAGTAGTCTTTAAAATGGAGCATTATGACAGAGACAGACAGACAGAAAGACAGACAGAGACAGATTCAAAGGCAGAGTCAGACAGACAGATACAGAGACAGAGAGACACAGAGGCACTTCTACACATCCCTGGGCACATGTTCTATAAAAATTCAGGCTGAGCCATCCAGGTGCTGTGGTGCATGCCTGTAATACTAGCAATCAGGTAGTCAGAGGCAAGCTGATCTTTGTGAGTTTGAGGTCAGCCTGGTCTACAAAGCAAGTCCAGGACAGCAAAGACTACAAAAAGAAACCCTATCAAAAAAAAAAAAAAAACTATTTTATAAGAGGAAGAATGAAAGGAAAGTAAATGAAAAGAAAGGAAACAATTCAAATATGGAAATGAAGCTTAGAGATTAAGAATTAATTCTTTCTTGAAATAAAGTTAAATTAATCTGCTGATAGAAGTTGGGGGAGGAAGTAGTTATAGTATCTAATTCATTGGAAATAGATAAACAAAATAATTTCTAAGCATCAGCATTAAGGATCTAGAGGGGCTCAGAAAATTTAATTTCTTAGTACCAAAGACAACAGAACAGAGCCTGGCACTCCTGTAATCCCAGCACTCAGGGAGGTAGAGGCAGGAGGATCCCTGTGAGTTCAAGGCCAGCCTGGTCTACAAACTTAGTCCAGGACAGCCAAGGCTACACAGAGAAACCTTGTCTCGAAAACAAAGGCAAACACAAAAACAAACAAACAAACAAAACCCCAGACAACAGAACAGGAGTCTCCTCAGGCAACATTCAGCAATGAGGAGATTTAATCATGAACATGCTACAACTGTTTAAGGCATTCTCCAAAAACTACTATTCTACTGATGTGCAAAAGTTTCATGGTAAGCTAAATAAAAAATAAGAAGTAAAAAAAAAAAAAAAAAAAGAAAAGAAAAAAAAAAAAACAAGAAAAGAAATGTAGCAAGAAAAGAAGAGAATTGAAAAGAGAAGAGAAGAGAAAAGAATAGTTCAGGCTAAGCAAGCCATGAGAAGCAGGCCAGTAAACAGCACTCTTTCATGGTCTCCACAGCAGCTCATGCCTCCAGGTTACTGCCCTGTTTGAGTTTCTTTCCTGACTCTTTTTGATCATGAACTCTGTTGTGGAAGAGGAAGCCAAATAACCCCTTCACCCCCATGTTGATTTGGTCATGGTTTTTCATCACATCAATTGCAATCCTGACTAAGACAAGAGGATTTCTGCCTAATTGCTGAGTTTCAAGGCCTGAATGGTTTTCTATCATAGCCTCAGCTGTGCTAAGTTCTGAGGGCCTATGAAGTACTGGAGGCCTGTTGCAGTAGTAGAGATGCTGTTTTAAAAGAAAAAGAAGTTGGGAGGGTGAAAGGAACCCAGGAGGATTACTAGAGAATACAGTAAATGAAACATTGATATGCAATGTGTATAATGATGTGTATATATAAATCTATTAATGCAAAGAATTATAAAAAACTTTTCTCATATATGTTTCTTTCTGTAATTTCATTTAAGTCACATATACCCAAAAGTATCAGTTTTACTTTTCTTATCAAGGAAAAATGTTAACTAAGAGATTTTCTGGTTCTAATTAAAAAAATTTGCGTAGAATCCTATCACTGAGAATAAAGCATTAGCTAGCAATCCTATAGTACATTAACACCGATTAGTTTTTAAAAAATTATCTAGATGCAAATACATCAAAAACTGTACCTCCAATTTTTTTCCAGCTTATTCTTTACTTCATGTCTGTAAAGAAATTAAAGCTCTGAGTTTAGTTCACTGGTCAAGCATTTACTCCATGTACAATGCATTAGGTTTCATCCTAAGTTCTACCAAAGACAAGCCTTTGAATTAATTGTTTATAATATAAAATTCTTGGCTTTAAGAAATATCACATGTGAAATAACATATCCAATACTTGATAGATAATCAAAGTAAACTTTTCTCTTTCTTTATTGCTTTTTTCCTGAATATTTTGTTTGTTTGCTTTTTTCTTTATTTTTTTATGTTTTTTCCTTTTTTTAATTTTTAATTTTATTTTTTTCACTTTGTATCCCCCATAAGCCCCTCCCTCCTCCCCTCCTGATCCCACCCTCCCTCCCCCTTCGTCATGCATGCCCCTCCCCAAGTTCAATGATAGGGGAGGTACTCCTCTCCTTCCTTCTGATCTTAGTCTGTCAGATCACATCCAGAGTGGCTGCATTGTCATCTTCTGTGGCCTGGTAAGACTGCTCTCCCCTCAAGGGGAAGTGATCACAGAGTAGGCCTATCAGATTGTGTTGGAGGCAGTCCCTTTTCCCATTACTATGTAACCCACTTAGACACTAAACTGCCATGGATTACATCTGCGCAGGGTTTCAAGTTTATCTCCATGCCTGGTACTTGGTTGGAATATGGATCTCTGGGAAGACCCCTGTGTTCAAATCTTCTGGTTCTGTTGCTCTCCTTGTGGGGTTCCTGTCCTCTCCATAACCTACTATTTCCCACTTCTTTAATTTTTATTAATTACACTTTATTCACTATGAATACTTCCATAAGCGCCTCCCTCCTCCCCTCCAGATTCCACCCACCCTCCCCCTTCTTCATGCATGCCCCTCCCCAAGTCCACTGATAGGGGAGTTCCTCCTCTCCTTCCTTCTGATCTTATTCTATCAGATCTCATCAGGAGTGGCTGCATTCTCATCTTCTGTGGCCTGGTAAGGCAGCTTCCCCCTCAGGGAGAGGTGATCAAAGAGCAGGCCAATCAGATTATGTAGAAGGCAGTCCCTTTTTTTTTTTTTGCTTTTTTAAAAATCAGGAACCCATTTATCTTAAGATGACCATGATCTAACTATATAGGTGATAATATCACTGAGTAATCTTATCCCCCTGCCTGTACCTCCCCAGTGCTGGGATTACAGGTATAAATATATTTCATCGAGCAGGAAAGGAAATATATATTACCCTGTATCTTCATCCCTTCTTGGAGGAACCAATGCCTTCTCAGTACTACCAAGTACTTCACATTTTTCTGCATTGAACAAAAAAAAATGAAAAACATTTTAATTTAAACATACTAGGTTAGTTAATTTTAATAAAATAGTAATTTTGTTTGCAGTTCTTTCAGGCATTTTTCCAATATTGTATCTTAAAGGAAAATATAAATTCAAAGTATTATTCTGAAAGTTAGATGAAATAAATCATAATCTATGACTGTATTGTTTAATATCTTTTTATGTCTTTCTAAGGTAGTAACACTGTAAGTTATTTCAATTTAGTGATGTGTGTGAAATGCAAGGTCAAGGTATTATATGCATTCCTAGAATTTTGATATAGGCTTATGATGAACAAATAAGAGCAGCCTTGTTAGACCACAGAGGAGGACATTGCAGCCAGTGCTGATAAGACCTGATAAGCTAGGGTGAGATGGAAAGGGAGGAGGATCTCTCCTATCAGTTGACTTAGAGAGGGACAGGGAGGAGCAGAGGGAGGGAAGGTGGGATTGGGAGGGAATGAGGGAGCGGGGATATAGCTGGGATACAGAGTTAATAAAATGTAACTAATAATAAAAATAAAAAAAATAATAAAATACTAGCCTTTTATTCTAATTCAAGCACCGATGTAAAAATCAAATGAACCAGGCAGGTAAAATAATTTAGGAAGTAAGGTAGCAAAGGTTAATGCCATGCCTGAAATCAACATGATCCTTCTCTGAGACACTCATGGAGGAAGGAGAAACCTAAATCCTGTACATTGCCCTCTGACCAAGCCCCTCCCCCCAAACACAAATATACAGTGTGGAATACCACCAGGACTCAGAACTGTATTTATTGTACCTGTTAGAGTGGACTCTGCTGAACACTCCACATCATCATCTTTTATTTCTATCACTTCCTCAACAACTTCTTCTTTTTCACTATCATCAATGATGTAGATTACTGAGTGCTCCTCTTTGTCCATTGTTGTCTTCTCAGACTTAAGATTTCTTTTGTCAGGGGAAATATATTTTAATGTTTTGTCACTGAAAACTGAAAGAATAGCAGATCTGTGATCTAAATCCAAAGCAATCAAGTGAAATAAACCAGTAAATTATAAAACATTCAATAAGAGTGACCCTAGTTGAATAAAAGGTTACCAGTTTCCATATATTATTGAATCAGAAGGTATCAAATTGATTTATGCTTGTGAGCTTAGCATTGAACGGCTGAACCATCTCTCCCAGCACAGAAACATTTAAAGAAATATTCAAAGTCCTTCGTCATCAGGGAAATGCAAATTAAAACGACTCTGAGATTTCACCTTACACTCATCAGAATGGCTAAGATCAAGAATTCAAATGACAATACATGCTGGAAAGGATGTGGAGAAAGGGAAACATTCTTCTATTGCCGTTGGGATTGTAAACTTGCAAACCACTTTGGAAATCAATCTGATACTTTCTCAGATAAGTAGGAATAGTATTCCCTCAACATCCAGCTATAACACTCCTAGAAATATATCCAAGTATATATCAAATATATAACAAGGACATTTGCTCAACCATGTTCATAGCTGCTTTATTCATAATAGCCAGAGTCTGCAAACAACCCAGAGCTCCATCAACTGAGGAATGGATACAGAAATTGTGGTATAGTTACCCGATGGAATACTACTGAGCAATTAAAAACAAGGAAATCATGAAATTTGCAGGCAAATGGTGGGAACCAGAAAAGTTCATCCTAAGTGAGGTATCCCAGAAGCAGAAAGACATGCATGGTATATACTCACTTATAAGTGACTATAACATAATAGTATTATATTATAATAATATGTTCATATAGAACATTATTATTGTATTAGACATATAATATAGGATAAACATAAAAATTTAAAATCTGTGCACCTAAAGAAGCTAAGCAAGAAGGAGGACCCTTGGTAAGATGATCAATCCTCTCTCAGAAAGGCAAATGGGATAGACATCAGAAGATGGAGTACATAAGGAACAGGACAGGAGCCTACCACAGAGGGCCTCTGAAAGACTCTACCCAGCAGAGTATCAAAGCATATGTTGAGACTCACTGCCAAACTTTGGGCAGAGTATGGGGTATCTAATGAAAGGAGGGGGAGATGAAAGACCTGGAAGGGACAGGAACTCAAGAAGGAGAGAAACAAAATCAAAACATCTGGGCCCAGGGGTCTTTCTGAGACTGATAGTCCAACCAAGCAACACGCATGGAGATAACCTAGAACCCCAGCACAGATGTAGCCCATGGCTGCTCAGTGTCCAAGTGGGTACCCTACTAAGTACCTGTCTAAGTACCTACTAAGTACCTATTAAGGGGCTGTCTCTGACATAAACATAGTGGATGTCTCCTTGATCACCTCCCCCTGTGAGGGGAATAATCTTAGCAGGCCAAAGAGGAAGAAAATACAGCTAGTCCTGATGAGACCTGATAGGCTATGGTCAGATGGAAGGGGAGGAGGACCTCCTTTATCAGTGGACTGAATGAGTTGCAAGACAGGGGGATGAGGAGGAAGGGGGACTTGGAGTGGATGAGGGAGGGGGTTATCCTGGGATACAATGTGAATATATTGAAATTAATTAAAAAATAAAGAAGAAAAAAACGTAGTTAACAATTTATCATTTTTGAATGAAAAACAAAGAGGGCTGTACCCAGCAGGGTATGAAAGCAGATGCTGAGAATCATAGCCAAACTTTGGGCAGAGTGCAGGGTATCTCATGCAAGAAGGGGGAGATATAGAGAGCTGGAGGGGTCAGAAGCTCTACTAGAAGTGCAACAGAACAAAAACATCTGGGCACAGGGGTCTTTGTAAAGACTGATACTCCAACCAAGGACCATGCATGGAGATAACCTAGAACCTCTGCACAATTTAGCCTATGGCAGCTCAGTCTCCAAGTGGGTGACCTAGTAAGTGGAACAGGGATTGTCTCTGACATGAACTCAGTGGGTGGCTCTTTGAGCACCTTATCCTCAGGAGGGAGTACAGCTGTACCAGGCAACAGAGGAAGACAATGCAGCCAGTCTTGATGAGATCTGATAGGCAAGGGGGGACTTCCCTGATCAGTGGACAGGGATAGGGGCAAGGGAGGAGAAGGATGAGGAAGAGAGGGATTAGGAAGGGGAAAGTAGGGGGCTACAGCTGGGGATACAATGTGAATAAACTGTAAAAATCAAAAGTAAATAAATAAAGAAGAAGAGGGATGAGGAGATGGCTTAGGTTTTATGAGTGCAGATCACTTTACAGTGGATCTAAGCTTGTTTCCCAACACTCACAGAAGGTGGCTCACAACTTCCTGTAATACCAGCTCTAAACCTCTGGCCTTCACAAGTGAGTTCTAATACCCGTATTTACTGATGTTCAAACCTATAGATATAAGTGAAAATTAAAATCTTTTTTTTTAAGGTTTACCAATTTTCTTTTCAATACAGTTTCAGTTTAACAAATTAGCATATTGCATAAACATACTAACTAAACTTTTTATGTTTCTTAATCATTGCATTTTATATATTTGAGATTTTTTTTAAGTTTTATTTTTCTTTTTAGTTACATTTTGTTAACTCTGTTGAAAAAAATGTAATGATGGCTTTAACCCTGATTTGTAATTTGTTTGTGCTTAACTACTGGAATATCTAATTTTTGGTCCAATCACTGTCAGCTTTTTAAGAATTGTGATTTCCAAAGCGGTTTTCATTCCCACCAGCAGCGGAGTCAATCTGGAGTTTCCTCAGACAATTAGGAATAGAGCTTCCTCAAGATCCAGCAACACCATTCCTAGGCATATATCCAAAAGACACTCAAGTATATAACAAGGACATCTGCTCAACCAAGTTTGTAGCATCTTTGTTTGTAAGAGCCAGAAGCTGGAAACAGCCCAGATGAACCTGTATTCATTGAGGAATGGATACAGAAATTGTGGTACATCTACATAATCAGCGATAAAAACCAAGGAAATCATGAAATTTGCAGGTAAATGGTGGGAACTGGAATAGATTATCCTGAGTGAGGTATTCCAGAAGCAGAAAGACACATATGGTGTATACTCACTCATAAGTGGATATTAAACATATAATATAGGATAAACATACTCAAATCTGTACACCTAATGAAGCTAATCAGGAAGGAGGACTCTGGCTAAGATGCTCAATCCCCATTCAGAAAGGCAAATATTTATTTATTTATTTATTTACACAGAAAATATAAATAAATATTATTTATTTACGGAATAATATCAAGTAGATACGTTAAAGTGATAGGTGCATTCTCACATTTATTGAATCAGTGTTTACAACAGCCAAGATGTTAAGCCTAAGTGTCTGCCAAGAAATACATGAACGAAGAGCTTGTGTATGAGTGTGTGTGTACAATAAAATATTATTTAGCCAAAAAAAAAGAATTTTGAAACAATAAATAAGGCACTGTGTGATCCAAAGTAATCCTATGGATGCTCTTGCTGCAACACACAAGCATACTCCAAATATGCTGATAGCAAAACAAATATAAAACAAAATTTGACGGAGCTGGGGAGGTAGTTTGGTGGTTACCATGCAAGAAGGTCTGGGCTCAACTGTCAAAACTGCCAGAAAAAAAAAATGACTCAGCCATGGTGAGTCAGGTCTCTCTTTAATCACAGCATTCCATTCTGGAGGCTGAAAATTGCTAGCTCACAGTCAGCTCAAGCCACATATGGAGTTCCTGTTCATTCTTGCCTTCAGTGAGACTGTGTCTCAAAATGAGTCAAAAAGGCACACAAACAAAAAGGCCAAGGGAACAAACAAAAAAAAAATGGATGTGTTAATACATTATTGTAATCCTAATACTCAAAAAAGACTGAAGCAGGAATATTAGCAGGCCATTTCCAAATACAGAGTAATATAGTGCCTTAGAAAAAACAAAGAGTAAAAACAGGACTATCAAAATGGCTCAGCAGTTACAAGCACTTAAGACACCTTTTAGCCACTATTTTTTTTTTCAAGGTGGGTTATTTTGCGTAGCTGTGGTGTCCTAGAACTCACTTTCTATACCAGGCTAGCCTCGAACTCAGAGATCCACCTGTCTCTGCCTCCCGAGTTCTCTGTGCCACTAGGCCACTGACCCTGCCACCACCTGCTCAACCCCTCCTTCGCCAAAACAGATATTCAGTTCCCAGCACCTGCAGTCAATGCTACTAAGCTCACAAATAACGGGATCTAAAACACCAGCGAATATAATGTCCTTTCTGGCCTCTACAGGCAGAAAAGTCACTACAGACACATGACAAAAGTAGAATTTATTTTTAAGTCTACTCTGGTCCTTAAATAAGTAATGCCTTGACAGTCTATACCAACCTTGTGCAACAGCATATAGAGAAACATGACAGTGGGGTTCTAAAGGATACAGCCTGGCTTCAGAGAAAGTAAAGAGGTAAATTAGTTTTTGTCCTCAATACACCAGGCTGCAGGCAAGAAGCCTCCAGCCATATCTGCGAGGGTGGGTCCTCGTGGCTCTTACATACACTTGGTATCTCCCAGTTCCCAGATCCACCCAAATAACCATTCTCCAACCCTCTCAGCTCCTCCTTATGTGAATCCCGACCCCTCCTCTCTAACCTCCCCCATTGCTCCCAGTGGCCATCTCTGTGATGGCAGCATATTCCTCCCAGGGTTCCCACTCCTGTAGAATTTCCTTCCTTCCAACCAGGGGTCTTCCTGTTGAAGGCCCAGTACTCAGCTAGTTTCACCATATCCATTTTCCTGTCAGGGGCCTTGGTGAGGCTCATGCACACCTTCACTTCCCTATCAAAGGCCTCGGGTAAGGCTAACCACCACCTCCATCTTCCTGTCAGCAACCTAGGTAAGGTCCACCACCTCCATTTTCTTGTCAGTGACCTTAGTAAGGTCCCCCACCTCCATTTTCTTGTCAGTGACCTTGGTAAGCGCCCAACTCCATTTTCCTGTCAGCGACCTTGGTAATGTCCATGA